GCAACAACAACAACAACAACAACAACAACAACAACAACAACAACAACAACAACAACAACAACAACAACAACAACAACAACAACATACGGCAGTATGGGCCCGCAGCCAAGAACATGTTGGCTATGAAACATAGGTTCAAAACTTTCACGAAGAAGAAAATACAGGTGTAGGCCAAAGAGGTTGTACTGGTTATGTATAAGTTAGGGGGGGCGAGCCCGCTGCAGCAGGGTTCAGCGTCCATCATACAGACTCTATCTGTGGCAACACCCCGACGGTACTGTAGATCTCCAACAGGTCATCTGACGTCACAATCTACGACAGTCTGAGGCGACATACACAATTAATTATTGTGAAAAAACTAAGAGCTCAGCGGTCGGTACCCGTAGTTGACAGCCGTGGCGATGAAATATGAAATTTGAGTCTGGGCCCGATTTTGACGTTTCTGGTCGCAGGGCCCGCACTACTGTGCATACGGAGTCTTGGCACCGTGTGCAGTCGTCTTCTTCTTTTTCTTAAACATCAACGAAATGAAAATTAATCCAAAATTCGTCTGTATCCACGAATGAATGGTTCGGGAAATTTCGTGTACCCATGGCAACCGGCTGCTTTCCTTTTTTAGCCTTGGAACAGCAGTGTGTGTGGGGGGGGGCGAATGAGGCGGTCATGACCAGCTGCCCTCCTTCTGCCTTTTTTTTTACCGCCTTCGCGGGAAATTAAGTACTTTCACGAGGAAATAGAGCAGGCAGGCGGTACGCAGATATTTTACCCTGTACAACCCTGTCCCTTACCCAACTTACCCGATTGTATGCTTTATCCAACATGTTTATTTAGTAGCAAACGCTGCGAAGGCTGCTGTTTCTGTTTTCGAGATCCCCACTGCTGTGCCAGGTCCAGTACGCACGATCACACCTTGTCTTGCACTTTGACCGTCGGGGCATCGTACCCCCTGTTTGTGATGTCGGCGCGTGTACTACTTGCTGCGTTATCACGCTCGCGGGCTCTTGTCGATAGCGTTTTGCACAAAGGATTGGCTCAACTTCCTTGTATTAACGAGTGAGATAGACATGGGCACGCGAGCAGAGCCTATAGTAGCGCGTCAAGTCCATCACACCCATCATGTTTATCTGCGTACCCCCCGGAGATCGCGGAGATTCGTATCCTGACGAGTACGCACGACAAACCTCTCTAGGTTGCGGAGAAATCCATCTTTGATACAACGATCGCACGCTCGCCCGCGTTTTTTTACTGTACGACAGCAGCAGTGGTGCACCGCTCCGCTGCAAAATCAGGGCACACGCAAGATAGGAGACCCCCGCAGTAGTCTACGCCTGATTTTTCTAAGTAAGCAAACATTCTGGAGAATCGGCTGAGTTGGGGTTAGGGGCTGGGCCCCCTGCCTAACCTTGTTTCGTAATAAACTTCTTGCTTTTGCAGTCCGTCCGTGGTCGCGTTCTTGTGAATAAGAAAACATACCTGGACAAAGCACAAGATCGGCTTCGTCGGGGTCGGCGTTCCTGTTGGGGTCTGTCCCCGCCCTGAGGAAGTAAGAAAGGACAAGGTCCGCCTGCGCCAAGCGAGGCTACGGCGATAGATGCAAGCGGCTCACGCCCATGTCCTTTGGCGCGTTCTTCTGCCAGCCCCCACCCCCTGCCCCCCGCCAAACCCAGTTTCAAACCGTGTTGTTCCCCTTCCGTATGTTCCGTCCTTCTGCCCCCGCCCCCCCGCCTACCTAATACAATCGCAAATTGTGTTCGGCGTTGCTGTGTACTACTACCCCGGTGACAGGCAATTAACTATCAAGGTTTTCGGGCATCCTTCGCTTCGACGCACGCATCCGGCGGGCGCCGCGGAAATCTCCGCACACAGGAGCAGTTTCTATTTCCTTGTTCTGGGCGCTGCCAGGCGACCAGAAAGGCGGCGAAAGGAGCCGGGGGGGGGAGGGGAGGGAGAGGGATTACGGGAATTGCGTGGGGCAGGACTGTGAAAGACACGCACGCAGAGAGACAGAGAGACCTCCGCGNCAGCACTGTGAGAGACACGCACGCAGAGAGACAGAGAGACCTCCGCGGCGCCAACGACTGTTGCTACGTCTAGCAGCACCCTGCCGCCGGAAAAAGAGGAGGGGTGCGGGGCGCGTGTGCGAGAAAAGAAAAGAGAAACAGCCTGTCCACGATATTCCCGACCTACAATATCCGGGTCCGGGGGCAGGAGTGGAACACCCTCCCCCGGGCACTAAGCTAGTAGTACCATGTCGAGTAATAGGACCATGTCTAGGAGGGTGCTGAAGGAGAGAATGTCTTCCTTTGGCTCTGAAGGCGGGGGCAGCCATGGAGAAAGGAGACGGAGACGGGCGGCGGCTAGAATAGAGTTTGCTGACCCTTTTGCAGCCGGGGGGGGCGATTGTTCTCCTTCTTCTGCTGCTGCTGCTGCTGCTGCTGCTGCTTCTCGGGCGGTGCTGGACATCGGTGACGTGGACGATGTGAGTGAGAGGGGGCGGGGTTAGGGGGGGGAGACGGAGAGAGAAAGAGAGACAGGGAAAAAAAAAAATCCGCGAAAAGACTTGTACCGCACAAGATTGTTGGCTTGGTTTCATCTGTTTGATCGGACATTGTACTGTGCTTGTTCTCTGGATACCAGCACGGTTTGCTGTCCCTAACCTTACCGTGACCAACACAGCCATGACCAGCAACAACTCTTTAGTTGTAGAGTCTTGCAACTGTAGGGATGTTATCAATTCTGTCCCTCGTGTCAACACAATCGACGTACACCGGGCACCGTCTCGCGGTCGGTGTGGTGCCTACACGGCGTTGGCTATTATTACAGGAACTCTACGCGTTGGTGGACCAGAAGTCCTCGGGCGAGATCGGAGAAGCGGAGTTCAAGGCGGGACTGTACCGTCTGCTGGACATCAAGCACGCCCGAAGGTATTGTGTTTTGTTTGGGGTGTCGGCACGTGTACTGCTGCGTTATCACGCTCGCGGGCTCTTGCCGAGAGCACGAAGGAGTGACTGGCTCAGGTTCCTTGTAATAACGAGAGAGAGACATGGGCAGACAAGCAGTCCTATCGTGTCACGTCCATCACACCCATCATGTTTATCTGCGTATCATCCCCTCGGAGATCTCGGAGATTCGTATCCTGCTGAGTACACACACAGACAGTATGCGTGCGCTACAACCGTAGAGGTCCCTGTTTTGTCTCAGTATGTGCCCAGAAACTTCACCGGCACTATAACCGGACCGGCAATAATCAAAACTTTTGAGGGTGACTTGGAAAAATTCAGTTGTGTGACCGCCGAAAACACCGGCACTATTCCGGGATCCGGTACTATTGAACCGGCACGACACAGAGACCTCTACCGCTGTGTATAGGGTTGTGCACCTTCCGACACGCGTGCTTGGGCGGGGGATGTTGAGTAGTATCTCGTACGGATCGTCTTTCAGGTTGGGTGGTTGTATGTGTGCTTTCTTTGTGCTGTAGAAACTCTATCTACATCTGCTGTTGTGAACGCCACCATCATATCGCGGTGCATTTGGGCCCACGGCAAGCAACCTTTGACCCCCGTCCCACCCCCCCGACCTCGCCCCCCTCGCTCCTTGAATCGATACCGTCCGTGCTCCGGAAAACAAACAATGTCAACGACGCCGACGACAACAACAACATTAACAACAACAACGACACAAAAAATGTAGCGTCGCTCTTAGCCAGAAGGAATCAGAGGAGCGCCGACGCCGCATGACCAGCGACAAGGACGGGCGCCGGCAGCACCATAATAATCATTATCATCATCAGCAGCACGCCGATACCGTACACCACCACCATCGGAGGAGGCCGAACAAGAAGGAGGTTATCCTCCGCACCTCGTCGTGGGCGGCCGGCACCACCGATGCCACTAAGGAGGAGCGCCGGGCGAGGCTTAGAGAAGCACGGGCGGCGGCAGCAGCAGCAGCAGCAGCAGCGGAACTCGACGAAAGCAACAGGCTTGCCTCCACGACCACAACAACAAAGGCAGCAGCAGCAGCGGCAGCAGCAGCAGGGTTGAGAAGGTCGCCGCCGCCGGCAAGTTCGGGGGGGCTGGGGGGGGGGGGGGGACG